TTGGCTGGCTTTTTAGTTTTATAGCCTTTATGTCAAACTCTGACACCTTCAAATATAACAATGACCAGTAAACCCAAGAGAAAATGTATACTGACAATTTTAAAGACATGTTTATTGCTATTATATAAATAATTTCTAAAAACCACCTTGTTTACCAAAGATTACTAAATTCATGTGAACTTGAAAAGCATGTGGGCATATTTATTTAATGAGTGCTCCTTTTATTTATAAGCCAATTTTGGTACCATGTAGATATAACATAAAATGTACATGTACATATACAAAACACATCTAATCATATACGTATGCACACCAAGTTTCAATAGTCTTTACCTCAGAACTCTAGCCATGAGATCCTCTAAAGTTCCACATAAATCTGTATACATTATGTTTCCTTTCCTCTTTCTCTGTCCAACGGCAAGCATCCCTGTGTCTCAGCCAGGTTGCCTCCATGGACAGAGGTGTCTTTCAACCTCCCAGACCTTAGACTGCGCTTATACTACCATCAATAGGAAACGTAAAGTAGGCAAGAAGAAAATAGAGACAAAGAGCTTAACAGACTCTGCATTTACATGCCACACACCAGTACAGATAAAAATTCAAAAAGAGGAATTCAAAAGGTTCTATAACAGAGGGAATGGACTGAAAAAAAATGGCAAAAATGTTTTCTTTCTCTTTAAAACTTTCCCCACTCCTTTTGGAAAACTAAAATGTGCATCCCTGCCTCAGGCCAGAGGTCAGAAGGAGCAGGGAAGTGTCCTTTGTTCTTTGTCCTACAAGAGAGGACTCAGTGGAACTGTCAAACTATCCAGGGTGGGGTTCCAGGAGGTCACGGGATTGTCTTCAGTGGAGATGAGAAGGATCAGAATCATCAGCTATAGTTGAGCAGCAATTGCCTAAAGCTTAAAACCTTCACTTTTAAAAGCTCTGTATTTCTGCTTATGACAGCATTTTAGACAGGAGTCTCTATCCTCCTCATTTGTTGGCAAATTAATAAACTCCTCTTTCCTTCTCCTCAAATCACTTGTCTTCATTCTTTTGATGCAGCCTCAGGGACAAGTGCTGAACTTTCAGTAACAGTTCCTAACAAATGAGCTGCAGTTTCACCTTATAAGGCCTGGGAGTGCCAAATCAAAATAATTAGTTTAGTTCTCACTCTCACAAATAGTTGGAGGCTTATTCAACCCAAAACAAATGGGAATTCCCTCAGAATTCTCCAAATTGAGAGGGGCATCCCCCACGGTGAGGTACCTTCAAATAGCGCTCACTCATCTCGATGAAAACATCATTCTTTGGAGTTCTACAGAGGCAATCATGAGGCAATCACCAGTGCGTTGGAGGTTGGTAATGGCGGACCTGCTGGGAGAGTCCAAAGCTGCCCTCCTACAAATATGGCCAAGCAGCTGCTAAGGGAAGGTTTTGGTCTCTCCCCACTCTTAGCTTCTGAACAGGAGCAACACCATCCTGGACGAGACCCCATAATTGTTATTGAAACTGCAAGGGGTTTTAGCCGAGGTCCGTTTGCTCATTGCACAAAGATTCGATTATTGAGACAATGAGAATTGCCAAGGAAGAAAGGACATTTTTAATGTGACAAATGTCTTGCTGGGAGAACAGGAGAAGCTTCCTCAAATCTGTCTCCTTGACTAACAGAGAACATGGGCTTTTAAAGGAGGGGCCACATGTTTTAGAGCAGGTCATGGTATAACTAACAAGGGGCTGTGTACATTGGGGTCAGGTTGGGGGGATGGTGAATCTTGGAATCAGGAATTCTGCCCAGGGGCCTTCGGTATTTCAGCTCCTTTGTCTTGCAGAAAATCCACCATTTCAACCCAAAAGGTCAAGTAGTTAGTTAAGGGAGAGGATTATAAAAAAACATATAGGGGTCATTGAAATTTGTTCATAGAACCAGTTACACTACCACTTCCTTTATAGCCAGACCCACTGTCTCCAATTCTTCTCCTCTGGTTCACTTTTCAACACCCTTCAGGTGGGTCTTGGTCTCCTCCACTCCACCAAACTGCCCGTCAAAGTTACTGACGATCTTCACAGCCTTGGTAATTTATTATGCAGCACTCTATTTCTGACACGTTGTTTACTAATTTGTCATGTATATTAATCATTGTCTTTCTCCCTCCACTAGAACATAAGCTCCTCAAGCCTAGAGATTTTTGTTCACTTGCTTCTCTGGTGTTCCTCAGGTGCCTAGAACAGTGGTTGGCCCGTACATTTTTGTTGAATTTCATTGGATGGTAATCATTGTCTGTGTAGGGACAGGAATGTGTGATCCCTTTCCTCACCCCATCATAAGGGTCATGGCTGACACTCCTATAGCAAAGAAGGTCAACAAGAGAAAAGTGTAACAAATTTATTTAATCAAAGTTTTACGTGCCATGGAGCCTTCAGAAATGAAGACCCAAAGACCTAGGGAGAACTATATATTTGTGCTTAGGGTTGATGAAGAATGGACAGCTGTGTAGAAACATGATTGGACAGAAAGATATGATTTAATGGTAACACACTGAGGGAGGAAACCCAGCAAGGACAGTCTGTTCAGATTCTTCGGGCCTCCCTGTGTAGTATTCCTTCCCCTGGGTATGGGGCAGGACCTCTGTGGCATGAGGGAGAAGGGAGAGAATGACCTTTCCAGGTTTCATGGCTTGCTTTGTGGAAGAGGAGTTCTAGTTTCAACCAATCACCTTGGGGAAGAAGAATTCTAGTTTGTAAGACTTGCTTTGGGAGAGAAAGAAGAGCGAGAGAGAGGAAGGAAGGAGAAAGTCAGAGAGACTGCTTCTGAGCCTTCCAATCTCCTTTAGTTCAAAGTGCTCAGCATGCCAAAGCGCCATGCTTTGGGGTATCATATAAGCCCTAACATGCTTCACATACAGAGTAATAACTATGAGTTTTTTCTTCTAAAAAGGTGAAGTGATAAAGCAAAAATCAAATACAGATGAATAAATATCAAATCTTATAATGGGAATATTCATCCTGTTAAATAAAATTTATAGGAAATCATTGACTTGAACTGAGCTTCTGCATCAGGTCCAACAGTCCAAACCAGAATGAAGTCACTTGTGCTGAAGTTCCAGGCCACCATGCCAAAACTAAGCTCTTTACTTGACCTTCCAAGAAATCAGGAGAGAGATAATAGCCAAACTCCCCAACAGGCCAGTAAGAGTTGGCATGATCAGGAAGTCCCCTCTGCTTAACCTTTACAAGAAAAGTAACTTTGGAACAACCAGCCTGCTCTGTTTCTGCTTTCCTCAGCCCTTTCTGTCCATAAGTCTAACCTCCTCTGCTCAGCTCAACACTCATTCTATTTTAAAATGAAGTGTTGCTCAATGCAGGAATTACAAAAAAAGGCGATTAAGATCTTTAAACTAAATTTGTTGTAATTTTGTCTTTTGACAATCCTAAACATAAAATGAGAAAAAAGACTTCAGCAAAATCAATAAATATTACAGCAAATAAATTTGTACCTTTTGGTGGGGAGCAGGAAGAGAGGGGCAAAAACCTACCTAATTGGTTCCATGAACACTATTCAGGTGATGGGCACACTAACAGCCCTGACTTAAGCATTACAAAAGCTACCCATGTAACAGAAACATTTGCACCCCCTTAATATTTTGAAAGAAAAGAAATAGATATGCATTTAAAAAGCCAGGTAGATTTAAAACTACTAGAGAAAATTTATAAAGCAAGAACAATATGAAAGTTTCATTCTATTAACCTCCCATTTGTTAGTTATAATAATTATGATCTGAACTATATAAGAACATTCTTTAGTTACAGGAGTATTAGCTTTGGGAAGGTTTCCTTTTGTATTATATTTATTCCTTTTAAGTTTTTTTTTTTTGCTATTTCACAAATCAAATACCAATTTAAAATGACATTCTCATCATACAGGATTACACTGTTTGCTATACATCTGCAGAAACCGTATGTTTCCATATGAATAAACATTATTTAGACTCTCAAAAAAATTTTATCTTTGGTACATTTAAAAAAACATAAAAATAAAAGGCAAACTATAAACTTAAATTGTATAATAACATATATGACAAACATGGGCATATATACCTAATATAATATCTTACAAATCAATAAGAGAAACGATTAACCAGTTTTATAAAATAGATGAAAGAAAAGGCATGGAAAATAACTCACAAAAGAAATAAAATTGGCCCAAAATTATATAAACCAACCACCAATCTCACTGATAAAGAAATTCAAACCACAATGCTGTCTCATTTTTGCCTATCAAAAAAGAAAATTCAATTTTAATTAACTCTGATCCAGTAATTCCAATTCTAGTGTTAACTAGTTAGTAAGGGATTCTAGGTCTCCTAGGGAAGAAAGTGGGTGCTTTGCCTTGGTGCAATTGCCCCACCTGGGAAGAAGGACAAGGGTGGGCCCCAGCCCCCCATCTTGGTCCTGCCCCACCTTGATCCTGCCCTGAGCTACTGCCATACCTGGGGAAGGAGGGAATACCCTACAAATCTGCCAATCATAACTTAACACACCAGCTGCAAAAGAATGTGGAGGACTCTTTAGCCCACAGGCCAAGCCACATAGGTACCCTAGAGTCTGGAAATTGACCTAGAATAACCCACATGCATAAGTAAGACTCAGGTCATGCAGCTCCCAACTTTCCAATCAAAGTGGTTCCATGGTGACATCTGAGCCACAGGGAGTTCCCAATCTGGGCACTGTAAAACCAGACGCAGACCATAACCAGGCCCTTTTTGATGGCCCTTCCTTTTGTTCTCCTTTTGCTGCGACAATGGGTCTGGTAGTCATCTGTGGTGTGTGTATCACACTCTATAAACCTATATCTTGCTCTTGCTCTATAACCCTGTCTTTCTCTCCTCAATAAATCTCATTTTCGTGTTTGCCTTACTTTCGTGCATCTGTCATTCTTCGGCCATAATCGCATTAAGAACCGACATTTCACATTGAAACCTGACACTAGGATACTGTCCTAAATAGCTGCACAAACATGTATGTTCAAGAATATTTATTATGGCAATACTTATGAAAACAACCTGAAATTCCAACAATAGAGACAGGCTTAAATAACACATGGAACAATCATACCATAGAATATTTTACAGCTGTTCAAAATCATGTTTTTGTAGACTACTCAATGATTTCAGAAAACGCTTAAACTATAAAGTTCAAGGTTAACAAAACAGGGATGTAAAACTATACGTAGAGTGGGATTCCAAAATTTCAAATGCAAATACATATACATATATATACCACAAACAGAAAAATGACTGAGAGAAAAATATATAAAAATGTTAATGCTTGTTATTTCTATGCAGTGAGGTTATGAGAGATTTTATTTTCTCATTTAAAGTTTTCTGTATTTTCCAATTTCCCCCAAAGTAGGTAATGCTTTCACATTTAGAAAAATAATAAATAAATGTTAACAATAATAATCTAAAAGTAAGATCAAAGGAGTTCCAAAAGATGCAAACAGAAACACTGTATATTCTGCTCATCCTTTTTTCCTCTTATAAATGGCTAAATCTTCCAGCTAAAAAGTTTTTATTTCCAGTGGAAGTAGTGCTTGTATTTTTTCCGTGACTGGATTTGGACACAGGATCCACTGCAACATATTTGATTTGGAAACCTCCTGCTGTCACTGAAGCATCACTCAGAAACTTCAAGGTCATGACATTTCCTATGGGAGGAAGGGTAGGCAAAAAACAAAGATGTTACTCTCCTTTGATTTGGCTGACAATTCGAGGACTCATCATTCTCATTGAAGAATATAAAAATTCGTGAAGAAAACTCCCAGAATTCAGAGGTGTGTTCTCAAGCTATAGAGTCTGTGGTTTCATTGCTACATGAAACCAGGGTAAGGGACTTTCATATTTTTTTTCCTGTGGCCCTCCAATCTGTCCCACAGGAAATTTTGTCTATTCTGTTGAAAAGACACTCTTTGTAGAAGGAACGTCCACAGTATCAAAGGAGAATGGGAGACAGGTCAAACTAGTGACGAGTGGATGAGTTATTTACTAAACGATGTCAGGGCAAGAAGCTTTACATTTGTAAGAAACGAAGCTAGATCCCTACTTTACAGAGAGTACCTAAATACATTTTACCTGCACATAAAGACCAAAATGTGCTAAAAATAAAAACTTTATTATATAAAATAAAATATAGAAACACTTATATTTTTTTTCAGGGGGGAAAAGCCTTCTTAATCTAGATCCCAAATCCAAAATTCATTATAAAAAACAAAACAAAAAAACCAGTGGCTCAAGCCTGTAATCCCAGCACTTTGGAAGGGCAAGATGGGAAGATCACTTGAGGCTAAGAGTTCAAGACCAGCCTGGGCAACATCTGAGACCCTGGGAAGCTGAGGCAAGACGATCCCATGAGCTCAGGAGTTTGAGGTTGTAGTGAGCTATGACGATGCCACTGCAAGCTTGCCTGGGCAACAGAGTGAGACCTTGTCTCCAAAAAAAAAAAAACCAGAAAAACAAAAAAAACACCAGCATATATACACATGTGTGTGCATGTACATTCTGTCTATATATAGAATGCTAATACTAGATTTCATCTATTAACTCAGGTAATCCCCACAACAACACTGTGAAGTGAGGTGAATACTCTTAAAGTATTCATTTTACACATAAGAGACTGAGGCACAGAGGGACTAAGTATCTTGCCCGAAACCACAGAGCTCAATTGGTGGAGTCAGGCTTGAACACAAGCAGTCTGGCTTCAGAGTTCATTTTGTGAGTCCTATACTGTACATTTCTCATACTTGGAAGATTTGCCTAAATATAAGAAACACTTCGAAAGAGACAGACTGAGAGAAAATAGGGTTAATATCTCTAATATACAAAGAGCTGCTAGAAATAAAAAAGACAAGAGTTCCTAAGAAAAATGCGCAAGAAATATAAATTCATAGGCAATTCATAAGTGTTCACAGGGCCAATAAACATTTTAAAGGATGTTCAAAAAGAAGTACAGAGAAATTCAAATAAGACCAATAATGATACTTTTTTGCTCTTTTATTGTGAGAGAATTCAATGAACATTTAGCTAGTTAAAATGCAAATTGACACTGTGGGCTTGTGCTAATTTGGCAACATCTATCGACATTTAAAATACATCTTGCCTGTGACCCCATAATTTCACTTCTAGGAACCTACTCTATTAAAAAAAGTAGCACTACCAAGTTAAGATAGAGGTTTACAAATGTTCATTGAAACATCAAATAAAAAAAGAAAATATCAGAAAAACCATCTTCAGGACATCAAATATTGGTACATGACAAATTACATGGCATATCCATACAATGACAGATTAAGCAGCCATTAAAATGAATTAGAATTATCTAAATATTGTACTCTGACAATGTACATAGTATCCATGTATATACTGTTTGTGTAACAGGAAAACATCTGGAAGGATGTCACTACACAGTTATTAAATGCCTTTCCGGGGTAAAGAGAGATGAGGAGAATGAGCACATTCTTACTTTTATACCTTTTATTAATGTGGTGAGATTATGGGTAGTTTTAGTTTATTTTCTGTTTTTGTTTTTTAATATAAATATCCTGGGTTGAATAAGCACATATTTAAGAAGAAAACCACATCAAAACGTTAATATTTTGTTTGATCATTGGATTTTATGTTAAATGTATCTTATGTCTTCTTTTCCTATTACTTTGTATTAATGTCTTCCTGCTGATTTGCTAAGTCTTTGGCTCTTTTATTTAACTATATTCTTTTCTGTTTGTTGATTTGTTTCTCTTTGAATAATAATTTGTCTGGGGTTTTTCTTTTTAGTTTGTTGAAGTCATGCCAGAAAAGCTGACATTGATTGATTTGGTTATGCTTGGAGTAAGCTGTCTGTTTTAGACAAAACAAGCAAAATGTCAAATTTCAGACTTCCTTTTGACTCTTGCTCTGACTACAGCTCTAAAATGTCTTCTTTCAATTTTCTGTTAACATAAAATATGTTTTCAAGAAAAGAATGAGAAATAAGTAAAAGGTTTAATATTAATAGCTTCCCCTTCTTAGGGAGGTTGTAACAGTAATGAATTAATAAGGTTTAAGTATTAATCATTCAAGGACAGAGCAGGAATTTCCATCTTGCAATAATGACAAATAAATTAGACTTGAGTCTAATGTATATTCTGCAAGGTTGGGGTGTGCAAGTTAACTAGTTGTATTTGAGTCTAAGGACTACTTAGAAATTGCAAGTCAATGTTACTTTGTTGTTTTAGTTGCAGAAGTGTTGTGATATTGTGATAATTTTAGGACTTGAAGGAAAAGTAGAGCACATATGAATGCAAACTACTCATGCTGGTGATGGAAATAAAAAGAAAAAATGACGACATTTAAGAAAGTAAAGGTTTTTAGCCACAGGATAGCAGTTCGGGGTGAAACAAAGGATAGTCTTGCTTATTGAGATAAACTTATGCTACTACAGGGCATTTCTTGAGGTATATTTCTTGGAACAAAGTCACAGAAATAATTGCGGGGATGGGGGGATATTTGGAAAACATTGCCTATTACATCTAGCCTTTTGAGATTTACTATGTATAATTAGCATATTAAAAGCTCCCTGCTGCCTTCCAATAAAGAAACCTGTTTAATATTGTTTAACCCAATGTTTTCCAAAATTATTTGGCCTTAGAAACCTTTTTTCATGTAATACCTATTTAAAACATCTCACAGAACTGTGTTCTTCAAAACACTCTCTAGAGAATGCCGTACTAAGATAAAAATGTAATAAATACAATGTAAAATTTTTTTTAGTGACAAGGTATTTTTTAACAA